AAAAAAAAAAAAGAGAAAGAGAGGACAGGAAACTTGGCTTTTCCTGGAGTAAGACACATCTGTTTAATCAGGCTCCAGCGAGAGGTGGAAATTTGATCTTGTGCTGGTGGTCAGACAGACTACGGAAACATGCAGCCGGGTCTCTGGGATTCTAACATTCCACAGCTGCCTTTGGAAAAGCTCCGAGTCTGATCAAGACCACGTATATTCTATACGTGCCAGAGAGTCTTTCTCCTTAGCACCTCTGCCTTCCGCCCTTGACACACGCGTGCACTCTCTCTCTTTCTCTTACAGATTAAAAATCTTTTAAATAAAAAATGATGGATGAAAATTAGAAAACTCAAGACTAATTTAAAACCAACTCGGCTTAATTGTAACATTTAGAATCACAGTATGAAATTGGGCTTGGTAAAAAGCAAATGCTCTGAGTTTCTGAAACAATTTTTTTAAAAATCTTATACAAAGATTATTCTCAATAGTATTCAGAGGCTAAAGAAGCGGGAACTCAGCTAACACCCCCTTCCTTTCTCTTTCTGTCTACTAAGTTTGCCAACAGTCTTTCCCCCCTTATTCTATCCAATCTTCTGGTTTCTCTGACATACTTTCTTCTCCCTTTTATCTAATCATAATGTAGAAAGCTTCACTTTAATGTTTCTGTTATTCAAGTTTAAATTTTAGCATAATCAATTCAATAGGTAATACCCAAGCCCGGTACATAATTACACATAAGAGACAAAAAAAACCCAGCCAGGATAAGAAGCAAGTTTCACTCCTTCCCTCCACACCCCTCAATTTCCTTTCCAGAGGCAAGTGCTGTTGCCCCATCTCTTGTCAACTCTCTCAAATTCATTCCACACAAATGTAGTAGCACCTCATAGCTGACCAGCCTCTACAGTGCCAGTGGTTCTCAACCTGTGGGTGGCGACCCACTTTGGGGGTTGATGACCCTTTCACAGGGGTCACCTAAATACATCCTGCATATCAGATATTTACATTACGATCCATAACAGTAGCAAAATTACAGTTATAAAGTAGCAACGAAAATAATTTTATGGTTGGGGGTCACCACAACATGAGGAACTGTATTAAAGGATCGCAGCATTAGGAGGGTTGAGAACCACTGCCCTACACTGACCACCTCCTTGTACTAACCAAATTTCATAGACCAGACATTCACCACACGTACGTATCAGTACAGCAGGCCTAGCACTTGATAGCGACCTCTTCCATAGACTGACCAGTTGTTACAGCCCCTTGGGGGGTCAACTTACAGAGGTTCTGCCATATAACAATTGTTCTGTTTTCATCATAGTTACCATGTTTGGTGTATGATCTGCAGCCTGCTTTTTTCACTTCAACTTTATTTTATTTTATTTTATTTTTTGAGACAGAGTCTCACACTGGGTAGAGTGCTACAGCATCACAGCTCACAGCAACCTCAATCTCCTAGGCTGAAGTGATCCTCTTGCCTCAGGACAGTAGCTAGGACTACAAGTGCCCACCACAACGCCTGCCAAATTTTTCTATTTTCAGTAGAGGCAAAGTCTCAATCTTGCGCAGGCTAATCTCTAACTCCGGAGCTCAGGCGATCCACCCACCTCAGCCATCCAGAGTGCTGGGATTACAGTAGGACACCACTGGGCCCGGCCTCACTTCAACTTTCTTGTCAACTATTTTATATCAGCAAGACCAGGGCATCCCGTCCCTTCCAGTGGGTACACTGCACGCCATGAGGGGCCACCCCAGGCCCCTGCTGTTGGCCACCTTGGACTATTCCTCTTGGGTTTGCAGCTAGAACCCCAACTTGGAGGCCCTTCTGTGTTCTGCTAAAATACCTGAGTGAATATCACTTACTTGATAAAACTTGAAAAATCTAACGGCTACCGAGCAAACGTGGTGTTTGGAGAAATGACAGGGAATGCTGGCTGCCAGCCCGCTCTGTCCCGCATCTCCATGAGGCTCAGCATTGTTCATACGGTAGGACCTTCCTTTCTGTCGCTGTAGGAGACACTAGTCGGATGAGTGAGGAACAAAAGCCAACTATCACAAGGGGACCAGTATTACGTGAGTCATCCTGAGCTGAGGAATCAGATTTGGAACTCAACAAAACACCACCATCTGTGTCCCAAGGCAGGAGAGGGTGGTCAGGGACCGACCCCACCAATGTCTTGTTTTAGAATGTTTTGTCATGCCGCCTAAATGCATACACAGCGCCTCACGCCCCCCCTTTGGGATGTGACGGTTAAAAGCAATGCATTTCTGATCTGTCAGTCAATTGGGAGCTTCTGGCAGCAACAGAAACTGCAGCGGGAACACCCTAAACCATCATGTGTGTTTCAGACTCCAAGAGAGATTAGCGGATTAGCCGCAAATTCAAGAAAACGGGGTTTATTATTAGAAAGTTGACTGAACGGGGTTTATTATTAGAAAGTTGACTGCATTCTATAGTAGTCTCACATTTCCAAGTCCAGGTGTTGCATCCATCCCTCAAGGTTCCTTGGGACTCACCTAGCAACTCAACAAGCAAATCCAGGCTCTACCTGTCCAGGCACTGCCCATCTCCCTACAGCTGCCCACAAGGAGGGAGCCAGCAGGGGCCCTGGGAGCTAAATCCCTCTGCCGTCCAAGAGTTGTCACCTGACCATCCAGAGGAAAAGATACCAAAGGGCTGGCTGGTCACTAAGTTAGGGCGGCTTCATTTAAAGCTCATGTCTGGTGGCGATGACATCTTTTTGAATCAGCCTAGACAAGCACTTTCTGTCTTTCCTGTTTTGTGCTTTTGTTGTTGTTGTTGCCATTGTTGTTTTCTTTAGCTATGAAGTCATCAGTGGGTTTAACAGTTAAAAACCTGGCTCGGCGCCCATGGCACAGTGGTTACGGTGCCAGCCACATACACCCATGCTGGTGGGTTCGAACCTGGCCCAGGCCACCTAAACAATGATGACAGCTGCAACAAAAAATAGCTGAGCGTTGCGGTGGGCACCTGTAGTCCCATTTACTTGGGAGGTTGAGGCAAAAGAATTGCTGAAGTCCAAGAGTTGGGGGTTGCTGTGAGCTGTGATGCAATGGCACTCTACTGAGAGCGACATAGTGAGACTCTGTCTCAAAGAAATAACAACAAAAACCAGTTAGAAACCTGAGATGTCCTTGTCACTCTACAACAGACCAGCGGCTGCCCAGGATCCTACTTGCCTTATGAGTGTACAGATCATCAGAAGGGAGATGGCGAAGGCTTTCCTCAGGAAAGGCCCGTTCTCCTTCTGTCGCTGGTGCATTTTCCCACCACATTTGTTACAGCAGCGGCACAGGCAGAAGAAGAATCCTGCCAGAGGCATGAGAGCGACGAACAGCAGCCCCAGGATGATGCACACGATGATGCCGATCTCATAGTTCAAGATCTGCGATTCCAACAAAAGACACAGCACATATGGTAGCATGAAACGGGAAGGAGACGGCTGGGCGGTGGCTCACACCTGTAATCCCAGCGCTCACACCTGTAATCCCAGCACTCACACCTGTAATCCCAGCACTCCAGGAGGCCGGGGCGGGTGGACTGCTTGAGCTCATGGGTTTGAGACCAGCCTGAGCAAGAGCGAGACCCTGTCTCTAAATATAGCTGGGCGTTGTGGTAGGCACCTGTAGTCCCAGCTACTTGTGAGGCTGTGGCTGGAGGATCACTTGAGCCCAAGAGTTTGAGGTTGCTGAGAGCTATGACCGAGGATGACAAAACTGAGACTTTGTTTCAAAAAAAAGAAAGAGAAAGAAAGAGAACATAGGATGTTTCCCAGCATACACGTTTCATTTTTCCACCTGTTTGCCATTGAGTTGATTTTTTTTTTTTTTTGGAGACAGAGTCTCATTCTGTTCCCCAGCTAGAGTGCTTTGGCCTCAGTCTAGCTCACAGCAACCTCAAACTCCTGGACCCGAGCAATTCTCCTGCCTCAGGCTCACAAGTAGCTGGGACTACAGGCACCCGCCATGACACCCGACTAAATCTCCTGTTTTTTTAATAGAGACGGGGTCTTGCTCTTGCTCAGGCTGGTCTCGAACTCCGATCTCAAGCAATCCACTCACCTCAGCCTCCCAGAGTGCTAGGATTACAGGCATGAGCCGCTGTGCCCGGCCCATGAGTTGACTCTTAATGTGTGTGTGTTCCCCACCCCACCCCTATTGAGAAACTCCTTGAAACAGAGGAAACAGAGAATTTGGTTATTACAACAAAGGACCAAGCAGTTACTACTCCAGCCCAATGTCTAGATACAGTCACATGACCTGCATTCATTCCAGGGTAAATGAAAATCAGCACAACTGGATCAGAAAACTTGGTCTCATTTCAATTGGTGCGTGCAGTTACTCACTTTCTAAAGAATGGCAGAAGGTGACAGGTTGGCAGTTTGCGACTGAATGGACAAGCTAACTAACAACGGGTTCTGGAGGCACCCAGAGCAAAGGAAAGCAGAACTCAAGTCTGGGGCCCAGGAGTGGACGTGGTGTCCTGAAGACAGAGCTGAAATAAGGGCTTCACATCCAACCAGGGCACTTCGAGTTCCTAATCCGCAAAGTGTCGCATATAACCTCATAAGCATATTGTGAAGAACAGTAATTAAATGACTCAATGTGGAAACGAGTCACGTGCCCAGAACGTAGCACATGATCAATAAATAGCAGTTAACTCCAGTGGGGAACATGCAAAAGTATTAAGTACACGGCACCTATATTACCTACATTCAACCTTGAGGTTAAAATGCTAAAAAGAAACAAACAGTGGCTGAGTTTTGCTGTATTCATCAACTACGTGCTTATGCTGAAGCCAACCCCCCCTCCACCGCATCCTGTGTCCATAAAGAGTCATTATTAGGTGACTCTTTAACTCTCTGAGGACTAACATCACTGATCCCAGCTCAGACATTCCAAACTCTTACAGATTTTTTTATCATTTTTCAGCCACTATTATAAATTATTTACTATTTTAAAGCAGTCTGAAGTCCTTCCTGAAACCCCAAAGACACTGAACTCAAGCCCAGGGGAGAAGGCACAGGGGAATGTTTTCAATACGTTAATTTTAGGTCCAAATGCATATTGGACATACTCTACACAACCTTTCCAATGTTACTGGGTAAATATCAGGCACTATCGGGTACAAGACACGTCATTTCCAGGGTTCTACCAGTAGGTGGACGTCTACCCACGGTCCGGCAGTATCTAAAGATCTTGAAGGGCTTTGTAGATTATACCAAAGACCAAGATTTAAGTGCTCAGGGCTGTGTTGCTTAGGAGATTAAAGATTACAGCAAAAACAAAGATGAAACAAGAAACTTAAAAACCATTACAGCAATAACAACGGTGAGGAACAGGAAGGCTGCTCGCTGGCATTAGACAGAGAGCAGCTTGCAAGGGCAGACAAGGACTTTACCTGTAGAATCAAGAGTATATTTTCTGGCTGCAGAGGTCAAGGCAGGTGAAGAGTTTGCATGTGGCAGAGGCAGCATGCATCAAGAAAACAGACAGAAAAAGGCATGTGAGTGATCAAACACAAGCAGGACATTAATATCTTATGCAGAGAAAACTGAGGGAGGAGGCTAGACATGTGACTCGGGCTAGCTCCTTGGAGAGCAGGATTTTCCTGTATCTGTAATAACAGAGGAACTCCCCCCCTTGAAGGGCTTTCCTGGGAGGATTGGAGACAATCTAAGCTCCTAATCCAGTGCATGGAACATGGCAGACGAGAAATGGTGACTTTCTTTTTTTTTTTTCTCTTTCTCAGAGATAGAGTCTCACTCCGTAGCCCTGGGTAGAAGGCAGGTAACCTCAAACTCTTGGGGCTCAAGCAATCTTCCTGCCTCAGCCTCCCAAGTAGCTGGGACTATAGGCACCTGCTACCGCACCTAGCTAGTTTTTCTAGTTTTAGTACAGACGGGGGTCTCACTCTTGGTCAGGCTGGTCATGAGCTCCTGAGCTCAAGCGATCCACCGGCCCGGCCCTGCAGAGTGCTAGGGTTACAAGCCCGCACCCAGCTAGAAATGGTGACTCTTTATTATTACAGAGAGGGAGAGGGCACCATTTGAGAACATGCTTTACACAGCAGTGGAGAAGTTTTGTGCCCTGAGTGCTCTCACATAGACTAAGGTGGTGTTTCTTATTTGTCAGTTCCACTGACGAAGTCTTTCCTGATTTTCCAAGTGCAAGGACACTCATCCCCTACTCAGCCTTCACAGCCCTTTGTCAGAGCTGCCACGCCCATCCTGTGTCCCAGGTACCGTTGTCAAGGTCTGCCTGGGTTGCCACACCAAGTCCTGCAGACTGGGCGGCTTCAGCAGACATTGATTTTCTCAGTTTTGGAGGCTGGAAATCCAAGTTCAAGATGTCATTGGGGTGCTATGTCACGTGGCTTCTCTCCTTGGCACCTCCCTGCTGTGTATCCATGTGCGTGGTCTTCCCTGGCGATTGGCTGTGTCCTCATTTCCCCTTCTTATGAGGACAAGGGCCATATCAGATTAGAGCCCATCCCACCGAGCTCATTTTAACTCAGGTCACCCCACCTGAGGGGTAAAGATTCAGAAGTGCTGGGGTTAGGACTTCTACATACTGGGGCACCATGTAACTCCCACGCACGTCTTATCATCTGGCCTCTCTTTCACCAACTCCAAGTTCTCATAGGAAAACTTAGAGTCTTTGGACTCTCACCTTGCATTGCTCCTAAGGTGCTCCACAAATATCAACTAAATGAATGTCTGATGCAAAAGATAAAGTCTCTGAAAACACGTCAGGGAGAAGAGGGGCCAAGGACCGTAATCTTCAGCTAAAGTGCAGGGAGGAAGCAGGTCTGTGATCAGTCTTCTCCCCAGAGTCAGGGCCGCTCCAGGGACAGAAGGTCTGCGCTTCTGGACGCTCTGACACCCTTGGGAAGAAGTTCGCTGAAAGGGCCCCAAACTACTCAGGCGCCGACTCAGCACCGGGGGGTTCACCAGAAGAGGAGAGCCAGAGCATGTCCAGTGGGTGACGGAAAGCCGCAAACCAGGACTCACCTGGATGGAGCATGAGGGCGCTTGCCAGCATGAAGATCTGCGGGTGCGCACCTGTGTCCCTAGCCCCTCCAGGGTCCCACTATGCCCAGGTTTCCAACAACCAGGACCTTTAACTCGGCGGTTGAAGGCTTTTTCCAGAACCCTGGAAGACCAGAAGTCCTAGGGCTTTGCACTCTCCCTACACCCCAAGCAGCCCCCTGCCTGGCCTCTGAGGTCTTGCTGTACACACAGCTCTTGTCCTTCACCCTTTGCAGGGGAGGCTGGTGCTTTGCCCAGTTTCCTAGAGCTCCTCTAAGGAGGAAGCTCCGTTGCTCCTGGGGCAGGTGGTACCACCTTCTCCACTTCCAGCCAGTGTTCCCTGATGACTTGTCCTGGGTGACTCAATCACCCTGGGATCCTTGGCTCAGTGTCTGTTTCAGGGAGAATCCGACCCAACACATGTCCATTTATCAGACTAAATCTAGTCTGAAAGCTCCTGGCAAAGGTGGCCTGGCTTCTCTGCATCTGGGCTCAACTAAACCCCTCTCCCTTGGGTAACTGTAGAAACCACTGTCTGATCCCACATCTCGGGTCGGATTCAGTCCACTCTTGTGGGCTCCATTCTGCATCCTCATTCCACATCACTCTCACCCCAGTCCTTTTTATCCATTTGCAAAAGCCAGGAGAGGAAATGAGCAGCCAGGTTTAGAAGCTGAGGTCATGGGAGCTCCTAAGCCAAGCACAAAGCTGTTATCCAAGACCCTGCGGGGACAGCTCCAGCTCAGAGCCACTTTAGAGTCTCAGGACTCTGGACTTGATAGTAGCACTGCCCCCCATCCACCCATTCCCTGGCAGAACTAGTTGGCATTCAGGCCTGGATGAATATAAATATAAGAGTGACTGTTATTTTGTTTTGCCAGGGATGCCTGCCCGATGTGGCAATCAC